ACTGTTAGCAGTTACGGTGTATTGTCACACTACTGTTAAATATTACTGTTAGCAGTTACGGTGTATTGTCACACTACTGTTAAATATTACTGTTAGCAGTTACGGTGTATTGTCACACTACTTGTTAAATATTACTGTTAGCAGTTACGGTGTATTGTCACACTACTGTTAAATATTACTGTTAGCAGTTACGGTGTATTGTCACACTATTGTTAAATATTACTGTTAGCAGTTACGGTGTATTGTCACACTATTGTTAAATATTATTGTTAGCATTTATGATGTATTATCATTACACTACTGTTAGTACATTATTATTAGAACTTTGTTAATCAGAGATTGTTACACATTGTAAGGAACTACATAATTGTTAACTTTTACTGTTGACTTACTGATTCACTTTCACTGTAATGATCAGTAATATAGTGTAGTTGTTAGGGGTCATTAGTAGGTATCCGGGATTTATTTGTGCATGTGCATTAGTTAGGGAGTTTAATCTTTTGGATATATCAAGTTATGACACTTAATGAGAGGAGTGTAACTTCATTTATTGAGTATTGAATAGAAGTTCATGTTGTCTTTAAACAGATACCTGTGTTAGTGTGTTTGTTGTTCTCCCCTAAGACTATTACTTGTACTGCGTAGGTATACCAACTACGAATTCCGCGAGCCCAGTGGAAATTGCGTGGTCAACTAGTTCGGAAACTGTATTTATTTTGTGTATGGACTCGTGCCGGGCGAGTCCAGGCTACACCAGCAACAATAATATTGTTTTGTATTTGTCCGGGGAGTGTGTTATATGATTTTGGGAATAATACAACCACGGGTTTGGCTGTCTCATATTAACCTTATGTTGCAGATAATACATGCCAGTACTAAATAACACAATCAATTATATTAAAATATAAAGTATGATCAAAGTACTGTGTATTTGTACATGTGTATGTGAGAGAAGTTGAGAATGTCCAATGAGTGGCCGTGTGATATTGGATTTATTAAACGAGTGTAGAATTTTCATATGTTCCGAGCCTTTGGCGATCCAATTGGAGATCCTATGTATTCCATGTTTTTGTTATCGGTAAATTACCGTCACATTTTCGCCAGCCGCCGTGGCGTTGACATAAGAAACATCCCGCGTAGTAATTTCATTATAAAACTAAGCGAGTCGGTTTAATAAAATAAATAAAATAAATAAAACGTTATAACGTGCAACTTTTATAATTACGGTGTTTACAACAATAAATTAGCAGTGGTGACGGCACGCGGGGGGGGGGGTGTCTCGATATGGGTCGCCCTCCAGAATCGATCTGAAACCCTTTGTGCCCCTCAAAATGCATGAAATAGTTTTTCAGAGGGTACATGTATAGATTTCAACATTTTTAAAGGGGAGTATGTTCCCGATCCCCTAGTAAGGTCGCGCTAAAACTATTTTTACTCCCATGGTACAGTGAAGTGTTTAACCTGTAACCACGACTCGCTCTATACCTTCCATTTTCGTAAATTGAAGCATTTGCCTCTTAGTTATGAGAACAACATGTGGATATATAATCATTACCTTCACGTGATTCTGTATCGGATGTCTGACTGGTGTTCATTTTCGGCATGGAAACTACGTCAAAGTCGTTAACAAGATCGTCTATGCTAATGGTACGATCTGCTGCCATTGTTGCAATTTTTATGCTAATTAGCAGACGACGATTTGTGAACGTTAAAATAAAAGTCCAGGTAAAATGTAATAGGTCAAAATACGTTCATCGACCAATCAGATCACCAATAGCCCATTAGATATCGGGGTGGGATATCAACAATATCCAATGGGCTGTATCACATGGAACAGGAATGATACATGGGATACATTCAGCTTATCGTCTTGTACTGAGATGAGGTTTTTTTATGTTTTTTCTTGCATGCAATAGGTCGTGTATATTTTATGTGCGTTCTGAATATTACTCTCTTTGAATTTTATTCACGTGTATTTTTCTTTGATCTGAATAATTTTAGACCATTATCTATATCAATAATGTGGAATTATTTTCTGTCTTTATTTTTGTTCTCATTTTATTTGTGCTTGTGATATCAACAATGGCAGCAGAATATTAATGTTGTATTGGAGTGATTATTATTTCCTTCAAAAAGGCATATCCGTGACCAATCTCTCCGGGTCACTGTAATTTAATGGGGCGGTATTTCTGTCGTATTATTATAGATTATTTATCGAGAACAAAGTCTATCACGTGCAAAAATAGTATAACATCTATACAAATTATCAAGGGGATAACAATTAAATACGGCTGAATGTCAGCAATGTAATGTTAAAAGTGCATCAGGTATTTTCGCAATTCCGGACTCGGATCTCGGTGATACAAGGGCAACCATTGTTGCTATAATTTGTTGTGTTTTTTTCTTCATATAATTGAAACTTTTGCCATTCGCAACTAATTCCAGACAATGAAAACCCAACCTTTGAAGGATGTCCCAACGATATTACCAGAAGCGCTAACCCTGGGAAAGCGTACGCAATTGTCACATGGAACGAACCCGTGGCCAGTGATAACTCAGGTTATATTGCATCACTCATAAAGTCGAAAACATCAGGAGATGAAATTAGTATTGGACAGACAACAGTGACGTACAGAGCTGAGGACCAGACCGGAAATGTTGGGACATGTGTGTTCGTTATAACAGTCACAGGTAGGTTGCAATATTTTGTTCGGCAATTATGAGAGTCATAACAAATCAGCTAAATCTGTGAATGATAGCCAAATTGTTGTTTCGACTTAAAAAAAGAATTAGTACTTGTGAGTATGTGCTTTTCCTATGCCATCTTTATTTGTTATTTATTTGGTCAAAATACCAATATTTTGTTGTAGATGACGAAGATCCCACCCTGAGCAACTGTCCGTCAAATATCCATCGGAACACAGACGCCGGGAAACCATATGCTACTGTTACTTGGCAAGAACCAACACCGGGAGATAACTCTGGGTTACCAGTCATGACTAGCACCCGATCGCGCGGGGATCAGCTTTACATTGGTGTTAATGAAGTCACTTATACGGTTACCGATCCTTCTGGAAATTTAGCACTGCCGTGTTCATTCACAATAACCGTAAACGGTGGGTAATTGCTGGCACATCGTTCCAATCGTTTACTGGGAACATAATTTTACGATATGACGACATAGGGTACTCAAAACCATGTTTTTACACCACATTCGAACACTTTTTTTTATTTTATTCTCAATTATTTCAGAAACTTCAAACGTTTGCGCGTGTGTGTGAGTGGACCTATATCTCAGCTCAGACAATTTATCAGTTATCAAACATACCTTGATCAACTCTTTTACACATATTAATACCGTTCTATGTTACATATTCGTGTGCAATGATTTCGCGATTGGGCCAAAGATGGTCAATTTTTTGTCGTAAAAAACACTAAAATATGGTATTTTGACATGCCTGAAACCTGATCTTGGGTGTTGGCCGTTTTCATTCAAACCGTTAAGATTACTTAATGCATGTAAGTATGATTTGTAAATGTGACCCAAGATGGCCTCTTGGCGGCCATTTTGTTTTCGACAAATCCGTTATAGACAGAACATCATAGCATATATACGCACATACGATAATTCTTTCATCGAGCAAACGTGGCTGACTGCTAACTATAGCTGTACAAAAACACTAAAATCATATATTATGACATGTCCAAATCTAAATGTCGGACATTTTCTTTAACTAGGTTGGATCATTACTCATTATGAATAGTTTCACTCTACACACGGTGATAGCGAATAGCGGCCATCTTGTTTTCCACACATATATTTTGTACATGCTTGAGCAATTAACTTCAAAGTTATACATACATAATACTTCATCCTATACATCACAAATTAGGTTATGCCATTGAACATAATCATAACTTCCAACATTGCAATGATGTTTTATATTGAAATACTTATTTGTCGTGAATTGTATGTAATAGACAGTGAGAATCCGATAATAACATTGTGTCCAAGTGACATAAACCAAGGCACGGACCCTGGAACAGACGTAGCTGAAGTTAGATGGGATTTACCTGTGGCTGAGGACAATTCGGGAATCGTGTCTGTAGTAGGAAATTACCAGCCAGGCGACGTGTTTGATATCGGAACAACTACTGTCAATTATGAGGCTAGTGACGAGAGCGGACACACAGACACATGCTCGTTTCAAATAGTAGTATTCGGTAAGTGTGTATAACGTTATGGCTAATCACACGTTTGGCATATATTTTCATATGTTCGTAAATGTAAATTCATTTGCAATATTTTACATTATATAGTGATTCGGGAAGCTGATTGTTGAGATAAATTACAGGTCTAAAATAAAATAATATTAAACAACCACATGGAATTGGAAAAACGATAAATAGGCACTAAGGTTGAGCAGAGTCGGGCTGACTGATTGTCCAATTATAGTTCGTGTTACTATGTTGAATTCTCAGCTGAAAATGAAGTAGTATGATAATACAATTGGTCAATAATGTTCTCTTAGAAACCATATAGCTAAACACTCTCATACCAAATGTGGTGGTAAAAGGCTGTATTTATTTAAAGGCTTTGGAATCGACTCATGAGCGGATTTAGTGGGGGCCGATGGGGGGGGGGGCGCCCTATTTTTAACAACCAACAGGGCTTCGCGCCATCGGCGCTCGCGAACTTGGGCTTCGGCCAACTTATCGCCCCCCCCTATTCCAGAATCCTAGATCCGCCCCTGCGACTTGCAGTGAAAATCAAGACTTTTTCAGATTTCAGTAGCATCAAAAGTAAAATTATAGGTACGAAGCAGAAGAAGAAGTTCACCTCACTACGGAACTTGTACGAAAGGGGTCTCCCGTGTTTTAGATGTATATCACTACGAGTCGATTTTTCGAAATACAGCCATCAAAACATTAATATTAGAATTTCAAGTCTTCTTATCGCGGTGTGTGTGATTTCAGTTACACCTCTTATACGGAAACTAATTGAATTAATCTTGTTTGTATTTATTTATATCAACTTTCAATAGACGACGAGATACCAAATATTATCTGCCCTGCCGACATTGCACAAAACTCGGATCCGGGAAAGGCAACTACAGAGGTAACATGGAATGTGCCATCTGGCTCTGACAACACTGGGGTAAAAAGCGTGACAAGTGATTGGCAACCAGGAGATACGTTTCCTATATTTACTACCCTTGTCACGTACACTGTCACAGATATATACGATAATTCGTTCGAATGTACATTTAAAGTTGTTGTTTTCGGTGAGTGTGTTTTCGTATGATATAACTGTGTTTTGATTGCGGAGGAGTGGGAGAAATCTGCGTTGACGTGCTAGTGTACAAATCACGTGTTCTTAAACTATATAGCATATATTTTACACCGTACCGTACACCGTCGAACAAGTGTCGAAGTATAGACAACAGCACAATTCGTTTTATCAGAGCTACCTACGTTAGACTGTCAGCACGTAATGTATATATAGCAAGTGTGTCCCTTCATCAACACATAATAAACTGTAGTAGCGTGACACACACATTCCGTGATGCGGTGTACATATTGTGTTTCTAGTCAGTTCATGAATAATGAAGGTGATCATATATTACCATAATTATGACAATGAATACAAATTGCGGAAGATCAACGTTGCCGAATGTATTTAATTTACGCATTGCAAAATGAACGTTCTAAGACAGCATGTTCTCCTTGAAAACAGGGACCGCCCAAAATGTATATTTATAAATAATAATCGAGGGTCAACTCAGATAGAATGACGAATCTTGAAACCAACTGCTTCAAACCATAGACAGAAGTAGATTTTTTTAGAAACATCCTTAGACTTTTGAAGGCATTTAATGAGTCAGCCCTGTTAACAATTTTGCACAAACTCAATTAAATGAGGTCTTACTCATATTTAGAAATAGATTTTAGTTATTATATGTATATAATGTTAACTAATCTATGTGGTTATTTGTTTGTAATAGTCGAATAGTCAAACACGCACAACATCGAAATTGACAGTCTTTTATGGGTACGGCGTATTCGCAATACGGCATATGCTTAATAACTGAATAACAGTCACTGAGAATGAATCACAGTTGAAGTTTTAACTCGATTTGACCCAGTCGCATTTACATGTTCTTGTGAGATTACTTATGAAGATACATGTATTAAAACCGTTTCAACTGTAATTGAAAGACTACTTGGTTATATTCTATGTGAAACACAACAACTTTTTTTTTATGTCCATGATTTCGCTTGGGAATTTTTATCTTGTTACTGTTGGTACAGGTTCATAATATGCAGTTTCGTTAGGTTATTTTCTCGCACGAGAAGTAGCGTGTCTGCATGCATGAAATGACGACGTGATTGACGATTATGTGATGCCACAAAATACGATTGGGTAGCAGCAAATATAGATCAAAGACAATTGTATAGTATATTTACAGTTTACAGTATTATCTCTAATAAACTCTGTCCTTGTCTGCATAGGCAAGTGTATAGTATAGTTTATATGTTTACAGGACTAATGTTGAAAAAAATGTTTTCATTGCTTAGATATTGAGCCACCGACTATCATTTGTTTCGAAGACAAACAAACAAGCACTAGACCAGGCTTGCCAACATCAATCGTAACTTGGTCAGATCCCAGAGTCGGCGATAACTCTGGAGATGAAAATGTCATTTACATTTCTACCATGTCGTCTGGTGATGCGTTTCCAATAGGAACTACAACCATCTCTTATTATGCTATAGACCCATCTGGAAACAGTGCCACGTGTGAATTCACGATTGAAGTGATAGGTATGTATAAATTAAACTGAAATAATAAACTCGTGAAATCAACACGTTTACGTAATTAAATCAATTCAAGGAAAAGAACATTGAAGTTGTATGCTAATTGTAAATTCATTTTTATACATTCAAACGTTCCCCAGTAGATATGCTTACTGTTTATTATTTTTCTTGAGTGTGGCAATTTTTTTGCAACATCATTTCATATAATATTGAATTGTGCATTGAAATTCTTACTCATTCCTCAGATGATGAGCCCCCAGTGATTGCATGTCCAACCCCTATAACAGTGAACACAGAACCCGGCAAACCCGATGCGCTGGTAGAGTGGAATCATCCAGTACCAACAGATAACTCTCAACAGAACCCCATACTATTATTTGATGGTGGATCTCCAGGAGACAGGTTCGGCATTGGGCATAACAAAATCACCTATACAAGTAAAGATTCCTCGGGAAATACTCAGGGATGTGAATTTACAATCACAGTTGAAGGTGGGGCACTGTAAATGTCTTCGTGGTTAGTGCATGTGACCATAATAACTGCCGAAAGCTCGAGTTACCTTGCTGTTCAATCTAAACTAGTATATTCCCGTCTACCTTACATGTCAGCTTGATTAAAATTTTCTTATATATATTTTTCCTTTCGGGTTTGCGGCCCTGTATAGTAGGGACTAGTTTCTTTATTTCCGTGTTGTTTTAGCGCGTAATATCACGTTGACGAAAATCACGTTTACTGATTGTCCGGTATTCGTATATATATATATACCAGGTCTGTTTTTATATGCAAATTTTGTTGCATGCTGCCCTCCATGTTTAATCAGCAACCATGCCGTGTACTTTTGTTTTCATAATGCGGGTCGAGCCTATGCATTATAGGAAATACGTGAGTGTAACTATTTGTATAGCCGAGCACATTTATAGTGTATCAGAGGGCACTGTTTTTCTGTATAATGGCTGGATATAGTGTGAGGGTTAAGCAAGATCTGGCTGCTTTCTGTTACTTATCATTTTGTCATGGATCTTGCATTTCGGCAGATAAAGTGTACATTAAAATCTGACGGCCTCCTAAGTAGAGGTGTATTGTTGTTCCCAATAATTAGTTTTCACTGGGAGAGTGCTAGCTTACACTAGCTTATGTTATTTTATTGCTGCCAAGTTATCCAGACATTTTTTTCACTAAAGCTAGTGAAATCTATATGACTTGATTCATAGTTTATATGTTGATGTGGATTTAATTGAGTCATTTTTAATCATGTGTGGATAAATTTACAGTGTGGTTACTATTTGCATTATTAGCAATAACATTATTGTGAAAAGTGAATGATAATACGAATTCAGTACCGCTATCATTTTCATTTACATTAGGTAAAATAACTAAAATTTCAGAACTTTGTGATATTCAGAATGTTTTAAAGTTCTGTTGCGGAGAGGTAACTTTTCAGAACAAAATAAACGGCAATTAATTAACTTCTGTTCGTCTGTATGTCCGTTTGCGTGAGCGAGCATCGCATCCGTTATTACATGTGATGTACTGAGGCAATTTGGCATTTTATATATGAGATTTCTAAAGAAGATAGTGATCTATTTGTAAATTATGCGATGTTTTTTTCAATATTTGTCGCGCTTATTGTATAATTGGAGGTGCTCATTATTTAATAAGCCTATATATATCACAACCTTTAGAATATAATAACTATTATTGCACAAATAATAAGAGGTTACATGTAAAAAAAGCAAAAATATTTTTTCAAGTAATGACCAAGAAATTCAGTTGATGAATAACTGGACAGAGGCGTGGCTTATCACATAATAGTTATGATAGTAGTTATTTTTATTTACTTCATGTTGTTTCTTGTGAATTTACTTTTGCAGACCACGAACCTCCAACAATAACCTGCCCAGCTGATATAATTATCGAGGCCAATCCCTGGCCGTCCGTCATCGTCAGCTGGCCATATCCGGCAATAACTGACAATTGTGGTAAATGTTTTCACACGCGCCGTTTTATTGAGAGTGGGTCGATATTTTACGTTGGCACTACTGTCAATTGGTATACAGTCACTGATTGTTCGGGAAACACAGCTTCTTGTTACTTTTCAGTAACAGTCGCAGGTAATTTTCATTATGACATATTCTTTCTTTTATTTAAACCTTTCTCCACTTTTCTGCCAAAACAATTGATGATTTATTAGGAGATTATTATAGATGCACATGCTGGACGATTGTGCTCTTCATTAATAATAATGTTACATTTGTCGTTTTTAGCAAAAGTGAACATAGCGGACGGACCCAGTCTACGTGAAGGACGTGTTGAAATCTATGAGAATGAAAAGTGGACATCTATTTGTGGTGATTGGTGGGATAAACCAGATGCTGATGTCGTGTGCAGACAGCTTGGTATGTATATACTTATAGATCGAGTGACTCCACTTGAGCATGAATGCGTGCAGAAGTGTTTACATACTGTGCACTAACATACATTTCTACTCAGTGTGCACTGATAGGAATATGTGAGAAATATTTTTACTCAGCTTGGTATGTATATACTTATAGATCGAGTGACTCAACTTGAGCATGAATGCGTGCAGAAGTGTTTACATACTGTGCACTAACATATATTTCTACTCAGTGTGCACTAACAGGAATATGTGAGAAATATTTCTACTCAGTGTGCACTAATATGAATATGTAAGAAATATTTTTACTCAGCTTGGTATGTATATACTTATAGATTGAGTGACTCAACTTGAGCATGAATGAGTGTTTACATACTGTGCACTAACATATATTTCTACTCAGTGTGCACTAACAGGAATATGTGAGAAATATTTGTACTCAGTGTGCACTAACAGGATTATGTGAGAAATATTTCTACTCAGTGTGCACTAACAGGAATATGTGAGAAATATTTGTACTCAGTGTGCACTAACAGGAATATGTGAGAAATATTTGTACTCAGTGTGCACTTATAGGAATATGTGAGCAATATTTCTACTCAGCACTAATATGAATATGTGAGAAATATTTATACTCAGCGTGCACTAACAGGAATATGTGAGAAATATTTGTACTCAGTGTGCACTAACAGGAATATGTGAGAAATATTTGTACTCAGTGTGCACTTATAGGAATATGTGAGCAATATTTCTACTCAGTGTGCACTAACATGAATATGTGAGAAATATTTATACTCAGCGTGCATTAACAGGAATATGTGAGAAATATTTGTACTTAGTGTGCACTAATAGGAATATGTGAGAAATATGTCTACTCAGTGTGCACTGATAGGTATATGTGAGAAATATTTATACTCAGTGTGCACTTATGAGAAAATGTGAGCAATATTTCTACTCAGTGTGCACTAACAGGAATATGTGAGAAATATTTCTAGTCAGTGTGCACTAATAGGAATATGTGAGAAATATTTCTAATCAGTGTGCACTAATAGGAATATGTGA